CTACGTAAGGCTGCAGAAGACTTGGGTAGGGCGGATGCAGAGCGATATCAACAGTTTCCCAACGAACGTGGTGTCGCGTCTGCATCCGGCTCACGCTTCGTCGACTGCAGGCGTGGCCCAGCGGGGCATCAAGCGGAGAGGACAGCTAGCGAGCTAGCGATGACGAGACGTGTGGCCTCACCACGGCGTGAGGTTCTATGCCCGCCTGGGCAGTGAGGCATCCTTCTCGCCGGCTCGCGCTGCCGGTCGTCTGCACCAGACCGCTCTTTGCGATCGTCTTCGCGACGTCGCGGCTAGAAGCAGCAGCCGGGCCATGTGTAGGAAATAGGGCCGCCGCGTGTGGGATTAATCAGAATCTGGGGAAGGTGGCGGCCTGGGATTGCTGGATATTCTGCACGTCTGCGCGCGCACCGCCACCCAGCGACTGTCTCGATGCCGAGATCAGCACGACGTGCCAGTTAGGCCCGAAATTTTCTCGCGCTGTTGCAGCCAGCGCCGTCCCTCGTCCTGTGCGGGACCCTGAGACAGCGGTTAGTGCGGCGCGCTAGGCTGGCTATGACCAAAGTTGCGGCGATTGCTGGATCTCGAGCGACAATGCAAGGTCCCAGTCTTTCGCTTACACGCCCGCAGAGTGTTGGGATTCAAGACTGTCCCGCCGCCTTATTAACACGCTCGGCCGCCCGCTGTCTCTGCCTCCCCTCATCCTCCCTCCACTGCTCCTTCCCTCACATCTTCTACCCCGTCATTCACTTGATCGTGGTGAAGCTTTCCATCGTTGCTGGAGCTTTGTACTCACGCCGGAGGCTGACCGGAGCTCAACTTTTTTGAGCCGCTAGTTGCTTCCCGTCGAATTTCTTCGACCGCCCTCGCTTTACCTACAACCACCCTACCCACCTCCTCACCATGCCTTCCCACCAGCCTACCGCCGGCATGATGGCCGTCGACCCCGAATACGTCAAGCAGCCGTCTCCCATGGCGAGCACCTCGGAGCCGAACCGCAATCCCAAGTACGACCCTAAGAAGCCACACATCACCGAAACACCCATCACCAAGGCCAACTGGTACAAGCACGTCAACTGGCTCAACGTAAGTTTGCTCTTGCCCCCCAAATCAGAGCCATTGGCTAACACGGGATCAGGTCACCTTCATCATCGGCATCCCCCTCGCCGGTTGCGTCGCGGCTTTCTGGACCCCTCTCAAATGGCAGACCGCCCTCTGGGCCGTCGTGTACTACTTCTGGACTGGTCTCGGCATCACCGCCGGCTACCATCGTCTCTGGGCACACAAGTCCTACAACGCCTCCCTCCCACTGAGCGTCTTCCTCGCCCTCGTTGGCGGCGGTGCTGTTGAGGGCTCCATCCGCTGGTGGAGCCGCGACCACCGTGCCCATCACCGCTACACCGACACCAACAAGGACCCCTACAGCGTCCGCAAGGGTCTTCTCTACAGCCATCTTGGCTGGATGGTCATGAAGCAGAACCCCAAGCGCATCGGCCGCACCGACATCACCGACTTGAACGAGGACCCCGTCGTCGTTTGGCAGCACAAGCACTACATCAAGGTCGTCATCTTCATGGGTTTGATCTTCCCTTCGGCTGTCGCTGGTCTCCTCTGGAACGACTGGAAGGGTGGCTTCATCTACGCCGGTATCCTCCGCATTTTCTTCGTCCAGCAGGCTACCTTCTGCGTCAACTCCCTTGCCCACTGGCTCGGCGACCAGCCCTTCGACGACCGCAACAGCCCCAGGGACCACGTCATCACCGCCCTTGTCACTCTCGGTGAGGGCTACCACAACTTCCACCACGAGTTCCCCTCCGACTACCGTAACGCTATCGAGTGGCACCAGTACGACCCCACCAAGTGGTCCATCTGGCTGTGGAGCAAGCTCGGCCTCGCCTCCAACCTCAAGCAGTTCCGTGCCAACGAGATCGAGAAGGGTCGCGTCCAGCAGCTACAGAAGAAGATTGACCAGAAGCGCGCCAAGCTCGACTGGGGTGTTCCTCTTGAGCAGCTTCCCGTCATCGAGTGGGACGACTACGTTGAGCAGGCTAAGAACGGTCGCGGTCTGATCGCTGTCGCCGGTGTTGTCCACGACGTCACCGACTTCATCAACGAGCACCCCGGTGGCAAGACCCTCATCAAGAGCGGCATCGGCAAGGACGCTACCGCCATGTTCAACGGTGGTGTCTACTTCCACTCCAACGCCGCCCACAACCTGCTCTCTACAATGAGGGTGGGTGTCATCCGCGGTGGATGCGAGGTTGAGATCTGGAAGCGTGCCCAGAAGGAGAACAAGGAGGTCAACATCGTCAAGGACGAACAAGGCAACCCAATAATCCGGGCGGGTAACCAAGTTACCAAGGTCGCACAACCTATGCTCAGCGCCAGCGCGGCCTAGAGTATTCTTCATTTCCATTTAGCGATGCCCGGCGTTTGGGATGCCTTTTCGTTTTGTGTAGGCATAATTATGTTTTCATTTCACAGCGTTCGCTAGCAAGCATCATGGAGACGATGCTCAAACACTATTAGACGGCGTATGTTTGTAGCCTTTGATGAGCACAAGCTTTGAAAAGTGAGCTTTACGGTCTAAATCAAGAATGATATCCATTTACACTTCACATTCCATCATTTGCTGTCGTGACTGCTCTTTTGTAATGTCTGATCGTTATCGATGTTTCCTTATACCACAGCTATGTGTTCTTTCCTGATCTATTTGACACCAGTGACTGCCTGCTATGGTCAAGTGGACCGTGCCTCCGCCGTGTCAACAAGATGCAACGCGATTCCTGACACCCAACTCTACACAGCGCCGAGCTACGATTGATCGCGACTGCATTGCCGTCATCGCGCCGTGACCGTAATGGCGTCCCAACAACCTAGCGATGCCCCGCCATCAAAACGCCGCAAGCTTGATGACGACTCCCCGAGCAGAGAAGTCACGAAGTCCGACCATCATGCAGGACTCAACAAGCCAATCAGCCCACCATTACCGCGGCGCAAAAGCCCCGAGCCACCGTCATTTACGCCGACTTGGAGTTTCGATGGAGTACCGAAACCAGCATTGGCGTCGGGACCAGCCAAACCAGCTACACCACATCATGATAGCGACAGGACCGGGGAACCACGATATTGCCCTTCGCCAATACAGCTGACGAAAATCGAGAAGCTGCCGGCACATCAGAATGTCGATGCTGTGTGCTTGTCGGACTTGCTCGGTGATCCGTTGATTAAGGAATGCTGGAACTTTAACTTTCTGTTCGATTTAGACTTTGTCATGTAAGTCCCGTAGCTATCGCCGAGACTAAACGCAGCTCCCGGCTCGAGTCCTGATGCTAACCATATTCAGGCAGCACTTCGACAGCGATGTGAGAGACATGATCAAAGTCAAGATCGTGCATGGTTTCTGGAAGCGGGATGATGGTAATAGGATCGCCCTACTCGTGAATACTCTTGCCCGCACAGTGTTGATAGGAGTTGACAATGATCCAGGAAACAGCGGAGCGGTATCCGAATATCGAGCTTCTGAGCGCCTACATTCCGGATCCGTTCGGAACTCACCACACGAAGATGCTTATCCTCTTTCGCCATGATGACACTGCACAAATCATTATCCATACAGCTAATATGATTTATCGCGACTGGGCCAACATGACTCAAGCAGTATGGAAGTCGCCTTTGTTACCTGTTTTGGTTCAAGCAACGCCATCCCAGCCAGACTCTCCTCAAGTTCACCCTATTGGGAGCGGCGAGCGCTTCAAAGTTGATATCCTCCGATATTTGAGTGCATACGAGAAACGATTGAGAGGACTGACTACGCAACTTCGGGACTATGATTTCTCAAGTATCAGAGCCGCGTTCATTGGAAGTGCACCATCACGACAGAAGCCCGCTGCAGTTAGCCCTTCGGTAACCTCCTTTGGGTGGCTAGGATTGAGGGAGGTGCTTTCTAGTGTTCCTGTTACAGGATCCAGAGACTCTGTGCGCCCTCATATCGTGACGCAAATCTCCTCTATAGCGACACTGGGTGCGGCGCCCACATGGCTCTCGAACTTCCAGTCAGTGCTTGCATCCCATTCGGCAACAGCGGTAGCCAACTCCGGTGAACAGTCACCCTCCTCGACGCAAGCCTCATCTTTCTTCGCCAAACGTGAGTCCAACGTAGGAAAGTCGCGAACTCCTAAGTACAGTGTCATCTTCCCAACTCCAGAGGAAATCCGGGGTTCTCTTGACGGCTACGCATCTGGTGGGTCAATTCATTGGAAACTTCAATCAGCGCAGCAGCAGAAACAACTGGAGTATATGCATCCGATGCTATGCCACTGGAGTCACGCGTCTTCTTCGTCCTCGAATGGTCCAGCAAGACAGGAAGCGCATCGTGGCTCTGCGGCGCCACATATCAAAACATACATACGTTTCAGTGACGAAGAGCACAAGACTATCGACTGGGCAATGGTGACGAGCGCAAACCTGAGCAAGCAAGCGTGGGGCGATGTGGTGAACAAGAAGGATGAGATCTGGATACAGTCGTGGGAGGTAGGGGTTGTTGTCTGGCCTGCTTTGTGTGCTCAGACACAGGAGGAAGTCATCATGGTTCCTGTTTTTGGGGAGGATATGCCTGGTCCTGAGAGTCTCAATGCTCTTGATGATAGTAGCAGCGGAACGGCAGCTGAAGAGAAGAAGACGACAGTCGTGGGTTGCCGCATGGCATACGACTTACCACTTCGTTCTTATACGGCTGATGAGAGGCCTTGGTGTGCTACTATGCAATACATGGAGCCAGACAGAGAGGGGCACGCCTGGGCCGGCTATGGACGTTGAGCTTCGGTACTCAGATTCCGTACCGAGCGCATGCAGGCCCTTGCATTTCCGAAGCACATGTACTACACATATGTCGATGAGGCACTTCTTATCGTTGATCCTTATAACAATATATAGGCGATGGTATAACCATAGCAATACTTAAATCGCACATGAGTCTTGCCTTGATGATCCACCCGCACTTAGTTGTCGTGCTTGGCCAACAGCTGCTCGCCCAACTCGACGTACTTGTCCTCGGCCTCCTTTTGGGTGGTACCGGCGTCAACAACCTCCTTCCACTTGTTGTACTTGGCCTTGCCCTAATCATATTATCAGTTATTGTCCTCGTACGTTTGTTGGGATTGGACCGGTATGTATGGCTGGCAGGCGGTACGTCGTGAAGGAGGATACGAAGGTATAGGAAAGGTATGCAGAAACGTACAGCAAGATCGAACATGCCAGGCTTCTTGGCCTCGCTGAAGTCCTTGCCCTCTGCTACCTTGGCGTACGCGTACAACTAGAATTCACAACCGACTGTCAGCATCTGGACTTCGTGTGGTATATAGCGGATATACGAGAAGGGGAGAGAGTGCGGGGGAGGGTAAACAAGAAAACGCGTACGTGTAGCTGCTCATCGTTGCTAGGTCCCTGCTTTCCAGCGGCCTTGAGCTTCTCGCCCATGGCGCTGACCTTTTTGTAGGTCTCGGTGTACTTGGCTCCAGGCATATTGGTCTAGAGTCCTGCTGTTAGCTTCTTGTCTATTACTCCTGTGTCCAGACCGTAGGGTAATCTTACGGTGGTAGATGTGTTTAGGGAGGTAGGTGGTGGTGATTGTTTGTCGGTGAACTAGTTGAAGGAGAGCTTGCTGCCGAGTGGTAGTAGCGCGGGGTCGAGATCAGGTTCGCACGATCATGGTGGGGCAGGGCAGCATCCGCGGCATGACGTTTTTAGCGGGACACAGCACATGGTACGGTTGCTCACGAGGCCATATGCACAGTATGTGATACAGTTGAGATTGAACGTGTATTCGAGAAAAGATAATGTAATGCACTGTTATGCCTGCCAACGCCGCTGCAGCACTCCGCTTTATGCAACTCTCTACCTTTATCGTGTATCGTGTGTCGTCTTCTTGGGTATCTACTCTCCCATCCCCAATAGCTCGTGCACTTAGCATGTGACCAACCAGGCTCACAGTGTGTCGAATGGTCTATGTGCATGTGAAAGCAAAATTGAATAATAAACGCGCCGGGATCTTAGTGATCCCCGTTTACGCCGTTGGTGTCTGGCGAAGATGCAAGGTTCTTGCGGTAAAGCTCACCGTCGCACGCCCTAAGACGCTCTGCAGCCTGCTCTGGGGTGATGTCGCGCTGAGGCTCGGCCATCATCTCGTAGCCAACCTGGAACTTGCGAACGGTGGCGCTTCGCAGTAGTGGGGGGTAGAAGTGAATGTGGAAATGACTGGACTCAATCTCGTCGGCTGTGCCAGTAAGGGGAGCCTGATGAAGACCCATGCCTTCAACCTCGTTAGCCATGTCTCTCTATTATGACTGTTTTGGACTTACTGTAGGGGAACTGGGTCTCGAACAGGTTGTCGTAGCGCCTCGTAATTTCCGCTATGCACTCAGCCAACTCCGCTCGCTCCTCCTTAGAGAAGTCTACCAGCGAGCGCTTGTGTTGCTTAGGAACAATCATGATCTCGAACGGCCAGACTGCCCAGTAAGGTACACCAGCCCAGAAACTCGCGTTTTCATACACAGTGCGGGTCTTTTGTGTTGACTCCAGCTCTGCATAATCGACGAGCATATGAGCGCCTCCATTCTCTTTGCGATATTTGCTCAACTGCACCAGCTCCAAGGCGGGCTCTTCCGGTAGGGATGTGGTCGTCCAGACCTGGCCGTGTGGGTGGGGATTTGAGCAGCCCATGGCCGAGCCTTTGTTCTCAAAGATCTGCATATACCGATACTGAGCATTTGGAACTGCGAGAGTGCCTTGTGATAGTGGTGGTATAGTAGTGGCAGACGCAAGCTTGGCTAGAGGCGACTTTGGGTCCAGATGTGCAACGTAAATGTTCGTCCAGGTCTCTATTATGGGGACGATCTCCGCCGGCGACATGTCGGCAAGAGTGAGGTTGTGAGACGGAGAGAAGCAAATGACATAGCACTTTCCAGTGACGGCCTCGGCACGGAGTAATCTAGAAGCGAGAGATCCGTCCTTGTTGTCAGGGTTGTACTCTTGCTGCTCTTCCATAACGGCACTGTAGTCGTTGACGAAGACAAAAGTGTTGTCGAACTTGGGGTTGTGCTCGCCATTTGCCCGCGTGTTTGAAGGGCATAGATAACACTGGGGTTGATTAATTTCGGAATGTTATTAGACATGGTCCGGGCGAAGGGATACCTTTGGATCATAGTCTGGGAGGGTTGTCTTGGACGGCGACTCTTGCATGCCTCTGTGGGTTTTCAGTAAGTCGTCCCGTGAGCAGTATCACTGATATGCTTACTGCCATGGTCGCTTGGTGCGGTGGGGAGAGACTAGTATCCAGCTTCCTCGCAGGAGGTTGAAGCGCCTGTGGGAGATGTCGTTCAAAACGGGGTCCGTCATGATGGCCGAAATGTGCGTGGAGTGTGTCTAGGGCGGACGATGGTGGTTAGGTGTATATATACCGCGTGCGAAATACGGCGAAACGGCCGCAGGGGCAGTATGCATGGCCGCGAGCTAGACGGTGGGAGTGACGCCCGGCCAGTGAAGGGCTGCGCGCTAAGCCGCTCAAGCTTTCCCCGTTGGCGGGATGCTAGCCGAGTCGAGTAGCGCACCCTCAGGCGTGACATCTGGAGGCCCCGAGAGCTTGCGCGTAGGCTTGAGGACAGCAGAGCCTCTCCAACAACCCACGATAGCTGCCGATTGGAGCATTAGCCCGCGACCCGTGAACGCAGGGTTTTCAGTTTTCCACCATGGCGGCAATGATGCCAAGTGCCGCAACTAGCAACCCCTATGACAGCGACGCCGTGGAGCGTGACCTGATTGACCCGGACGATGGTGCGTCGCATCCACACCTGCCTGCGCGACGAGACGGGCGACGAGGCTAACCATCACCAGCTACCCTCGATGACCTCGACGATCCTCTCCAGGGCACGTCGGACCGCGCGCCGCTGACGGGCAACATCCAGCGCGACCCTGCGCAGACGCAGTCGTACCTGACGTCGAGCATCCCCGGCGAAGACCGCCGTGCGCCCACAAACACCATCGACGAGACGGTATGGGACACGCTGTCCCGCGACATCTTCGCCATCTGGGAGAAGATGAAGCAGGTGCTGTACCCCAAGTACCTGCTGGGCGGCATCATGCAGCGCGGGGGAGGCATTGGCGCCGCAGAGCGCGGCGAGGCCGACGGCTTTGGCGGTGGGCTCAGGAACATTGCAGGGCGATGGCCGGACGCAGATGTTATTCTGCAGGGCGGCATGAGCGAGGGCCTGCGCGACTGGGACCTATGGGGCCCACTCATCTTCTGTCTGCTGCTGAGCCTGTTCCTCTCGTGGGGAGCAAAGGGCGACCAGAAGGACCTGGTCTTCTCCGGCGTCTTCGCCATGGTCTGGATAGGCGAGGCAGTCGTGACGCTGCAGATCAAGCTGCTGGGAGGCAACATGTACGTCCCCTCTGCACACCTACCTTACGCCTTTGACATGCTAATCATGTCCAGTGCCTTCTTCCAGTCCATCTCTATTATCGGCTACACGCTCTTCCCGCTCGTCATTGCCTCCATCCTCAGCGCCGTTGGCATACCCATGATAGTGCGCATCCCCGTCTACATCGTTCTCATCGCCTGGTCGCTAGCAGCGGGAGTGAGCATCATGGGCGGCTCTGGAGTCGTAAGGAACCGCGTCGGCATCGCAGTATACCCTTTGTTTGTATTTTATGTTGCTCTGGGCTGCCTGTGCTTCATCAGCTAGTGCAGCATTGTTGTGCATGCAAAAGTGTTTGGCTGGGTATCTGGCGTTACGGACAAGCTGTAGAAATAGCTATTCATGAGCCTCACAAATCCATTCCAATACAATCAGTAGTACTTATTAGACGTCTACAGTAAACTTGATGTTCATGTCCCAAGTAGCGGTAGACGCTGTTGTTGCTGCTACCCGTGTTCATGATTAGCCGTCTGTCTTCCCCACTTCGTCATTGGTCTTTGCAGCGACAACACACTCGACCACGACCGCCGACTGAAGCGCCAACACTCGGCCCCCTAACCGCTCAACACACACGGCGCGCCTTGTCTGCATTCCTCTCGTTGCAGTCGCGTTCTGGACTCGACGGTGTAATTAGACACTGTTGCATTCGGCGCATTGTAGTGGAAATTTGGTACTAGAGCGCATTGACCGACTCCACTAACCACAAGGCCCATCTGCTCTGCTTCCGTCCGCTCGACAATCCAAGCCTGCAGCTCATATCTGCACCTGTTTTCCGACATCGTCTGCCCGCCGCACACCCAACGAGCCATCACGCTGCATTGTCCACCTACAAGGTCGCCACTAGCCTCGCGGAGCACCACCTCTGCGATTGTCCCTGCCGTCGACCGCAACTTGGTCTTCACCGCGGAGCATAGTTACTATTGTCCTTATTCAAGCTTGCACTGTCTCAATTCACAACCTCAAACCACACAGACATTTCAGCGACCGCCCAAGGACCGCCTTCTCACGCACCAACGTCTGCGACTCCTACTACTACTCTGCTACACCATCCACCAAGCGCACTCCCATCATACCCCACGCCTGGAACACAACCCGTCCTGCACCATGACAGACGCGCCAGAGAAGCCGCAGGTGACAACTGCAGCTGCTGCCGCCTCCGACGACACCACCAAAGCTGCGCCCACGTCCCCAGCACGGAGCGATAAGAGCAGCGATAGCGAAGGAAAGAATGTTAGGGAAAAGCTCAAGGACACACAGATCGATGCGCAGGCCACATCGGATCCCGTCCCGAGTTCCGATCGGCCCATGAACGACGCACCCAACGGCAGCGTTAAAGCTGGCGAACACAGCGCTTCTGGCTCAGACAGCGAGCGCGGACGGTTACGACGCAAGCGCAGCCGGGAAGACTTTGAAGAGGAAGCCGAAGCGGACAAGCACCCAGAAAAGAAGGTTGAGCGACATGCGCGCAAGAGGTCAAGGGACATCACAGCCGACCTGGAGGCTGGTGTGCCCGGAAAGCCTTCTCCAAGTACTATCTCAAGTATCCAAGAGAACGACGGGGACGAGCAGATGACATCGCCCAACAAGAACACATCCACGACCACTGCGGCCGATAAGACCCCAGGAGCCGGAACAAGCCCCAAAAACAAGCGCACACGCGATCAAGTCGAGAAGGATACAGATGCTAGCGCAGAAGCGGCGGAAGACGCCTCGGCAAATGGCAAACCTGCAGAAAAGTCGGCAGGCGAGGAGCGAGACACCAAGCGGTTACGAGACAAGGAAGCAGCCGATTCAACAACGGACACAACAGAGTCGAAGACCAAGGTAAGCTAACTAGCGCTGCGTGAATGTCAAAGACTAACGCTCGAGCCAGATACCGCCAGGCAGTGGGTTTGCCAACACTTCCGCCGCATCGCCCTTTGCAGCTATGGCAGCGAAACCTCAACCGCCGAAGACCTCTGATAAGGCCGAATCATTACCTCAGACGTCGGACGAAAAGTTCAAGTCATCTGGCTTCGGCGGTTTTGCAACCTCAGCTGCGTCTCCATTCGGGGGCCTTGCTGGTTCTAAACCAAGTTCTAGCTCGCCTTTCGGTGGGGCAAGCGCGGCCAAACTGTCCTCTTTCGCAGGAAGCGCAGCCTCCTCAACGCCATCAAGTGGTGGCTTCGGAGCACTGGGAAGCTCTGGTACATCCGGGTTTGGAGGCAGCTCTTTTGGCGGATCGCTGGGTGGGGGC